AAGCAAGAGACAACAATGTGCTTACTACCACAGGGAAGTATCACATTAAAATGCAATTGTAGGCCAGGGATTTAGCTCAGTGGTTCCGCTGCCTGCCTCGCAAGCGCAAGGACCCGAGTTCGATCCCCAGTACCAAAAAAACCAAACAAACAAAATGCAATTGTGAAACAAAATAACCAGTGGTGTTAGAATTCAGAATAGGATTTCCCTTGAGGAAAGAGAGGGAACAGTAGTTGGGAGGCAGATAAGAGGGCTGCCTGGGTGCTAAGAAAGCGGCCTGAGTAATTCAAGTTGTAAAAACTGACTGATCGGGGCGCTGTCCTGGGCACTCTAGGATTTCTGTACTGTACTCCAGTGCAAAGCGGACTAAACCTTTCGCCGGGACTGCCATATGGAGAACGGCCGGTAGGGGGCGAGAGTAGATTCATGCAAACCAGGTAGGAAATCAAAGAATTAGAATAGCGTTAGGCTCTGATAGATTAAATACATAAATGTCAATGTCTAAAGAAATTTCTAAAAGAGTGGGAGCAGAAGGTGTAATGTCTAAGTGGAATAAAAAAATGGAATGAAGAAAAAATCTAAAACCAGACAAAGGAGAGAAAAAGAAATATACAAAAAGCATGATAAATCCAAATTTATCAGAGATTACTGCACAATCAACGCAAATGGTGTAAATCTGTGCTGTTTAACACAGTGGTCACGAGCACGTGTTGCTGTTGACTGCTTGGATTGGATTTCTGAGTTTATGTGTGATGTTAAAGTGGATGTCAGAATTGAAGTCCCGTCCTGTCCCGTCCGTGCCCCCCCCCCCCCGGTTTCTGAGGACAACCTCAGGGCTCACAGGCTATGCAAGGGCTCTACCACTGAGCGGTATCTCCAGCCCTTTAAAAGAATTTTATTTTGAAACAGGGTCTTGCTGAGTCTGAGCTCACACTGAGCTCAAACTTGCAATCCTCCTGCCTCAGCCTCCAGAGGTGCTGTGATTACAGTCTATGACACTACACCCAGAAATGAAGAACTTGAATGAAAAAGAATGTAAAATATTAATAGCTTTATATTTATTACATCTTGAAATGTTCATATTTTGAATATGTCATATAGTTTGTCACATAAAACATATGTTTGTAAAATTCACTTCACCGTTTTAAAGACATTTGAACAGTAGCTGCTAGAAAAATTTGAATTACATAAATGAATCACATTTTCTTTCTGTTGGACATTGGTGGTCTAAGTGCTCTAGTTACAAAGCAGCTATTGTCAGACTGATAGAACAAATTAAAATCTAGCAATATGTTGCTTACGTTTAACCATAAGAGATGTAAAAAGTTACAAGTAGAGGAAGGAAATAGAAAGAATGCCAGTTTAAAAAAAATAAAAGGAAAATAAGAAGATGGGAGAGAAAGCTGGTTTAAACATGTTATAGGAAGCCGGGAGTGGTGGCACACACCTGTGATCCCAGCCCTCAGGAGGCTGAGGCAGGAAAATGACCTCGACCTGGGCTACATAGTGAGTTCAAGGCCACCCTGAGCTACATAGTGAGATCCTGTCTCAAAAAAAAAAAAAAAATCATCTCATAGGATAGAGTTTAGTACAGAAGGCATATCTAGAGTTAACAGTCTCTGCCATGAAAATGTAACAATTCTAATTGTGCATTTGTTTCAAGAGCTTTAGCCCAGCCCTTGGGAGGTGGAGGTAGGAGGGTTGCAAAATCAAGGTCAGTCTGGGATACACAGTGAGACCCTGCTCACTATAATACACATAATCTCAAAATAAAACAAAAGTAACGGAACTACTCAAACCACATGGGTGGTCTGAATCAAAATGTGCTGTTAGAGACAGGCATAGTGGCCCATGCCTATAATGCCAGCACTCTAGGAGGCTGAGACAGGAAGATCACAAATTCAAGCCCAGCCTGGGCAAGACTGATGACTTAGCAAGACCCTGTCTTAAAATAATGGGGATGTAGCTCAGTTCGATCCCCAGTAACACACACACACACACACACACACACACACACACACACACGCACAGCTGTTAGCACAACATGCACTTAGGAATGCAAAATATCTTATGTTAGACAACCACACCACCAGTGTTGGAGTTTTTGAAGAATTTCTCTGAGCAACTGATAGCTCAGAGAGACAAAAAGTGATAGATTTGAACAATTCAATGAACAAGCCTGTCCTCATGATCACATAGGTGGAATGTGCATTGGACCACCACAAAAGACATGTTTAAAAATGCCTGGGGGGGTGTAGGGGACAGGGGAAGGGGACGTTACCAGAACCTCTGCAGTTAGTCCTGGTCTCCTGCGAGCCACGGCAGCACACGGCGAATTACAGGAAAGGTAGAAAAATGAGACCGAGAAGAAGCTGAGCTTTGGGTCTGATCAGTGCTGCTCTGTGCAGCAAAGACAAAAGCCCCCAGCTTACCACACCTTTTATTCAGTACATCGGGAGAAACAAATGTAACAGATGACTTGCAGAGAGTTCAATAGTTCACATTGGGATAAACAAGGTGTAACGGAAGGCTTGCAGAGAGTTCAGTACATCTCCGGCAAACAAGATGTTAATCAGTCCAAGAACAATGAGGAACTGAGCAGGTGTTTGTTCTCCCAGGATGTTTCTTGTCCTGGAGAATCACAGCATCACTGGATCACTGAAGTCTCAGTTGTGACCGGAGGCCAAACTGGAGTTATTCTGTAGCTGGGCTGTAGGCAAGAGAACTAGGCTAACCAAATGATTTATCCCTAGAATTATGTAGCATTGCTCCCAACAGGGGGGGGGGGGGGCAGGGGTTCAGCTCGGTCGTTCCGCCACCCAAGTTCAATCTCCGTTACCAAAAATGAAAAATAAAAAAAATAAAAATGCCTGGGGAGCTGGCGGGGATGTGAAATGGTGCCGCTGGTATGGAAACAGTAGGGCACTTCCTCAACTACCGTAGAAGGACCATATGACCCAAGGGTGCTAGGTCTGTCTACCCCAAGGAACTGAACAGACATTTGTACACATGTGGTCATAGCATTGCCTACTGATAGGTCAGAAAATAAACAGAAGGTACTAGAGACAAACCATGGAATATTAGTCAGCCTTAAAAAATGAGGGCTATTCTAGCTGGTCACAGTGTCACACACTACTCAGGAGTATAAGGCAAGGGGAGCGATTGAACCCAAGAGTTCGAGGCCAGCCTGGGTAAGATAGTAAGACTTTGTCTCTGAAAAACAAAACCCATAGATGAACCTCGAGGCCATGCTGTTCAGGGAGCTGCAGCAGATAGAGGAGGACTCGCGCTGCTGGGCCCCACCCCCAGGAGGCCCAGCTCGGTCAGATCCACAGGAACAGGAAGGAGATGGTGGTGCAGCTGGGGAGGGGACGGGAGTCAGCATTTCCTGGGACAGAGCTCAGCTGGGGAGATGGAAAGTCCTGGAGGTGGGCGGCGGGGACGGCACAGCCGTTGGATGCACTTAAAGCCACTGAGCTGGGCACTGAAAAATGGTTAAAATGTTATCTGATATTAGCATAATTTAAAATATCCGAATTTAAACATGCATAGAAAATATTCACAAAGCTTGACTTCATAGCACTACAAAAAGCACTGGTATCTTGTAGACGTTCTGACTTACTCGTCGTGCAGGATTAAAGAAGGAATATAAATGTAATTAGGAAATGTCTAGAAGGTTTCTTTTAATAGGAAGAGGAGGGCTGGGGATTTAGCTCAGTGGTTCTGCCGCCTGCCTCACAAGCGAAAGGTCCCAAGTTTGATCCCCAGTACCAAAAAATAAAATAAATAAATAGGAAGAGGAGTTGGAGTGGTGGCACACACCTACAATCCCAGCACTCCGGGAGGCTGAGGCAGGAGGATCACAATATCGAGCCCAGGCTGGACAACTTAGTGAGAACTTGTCCCCCCCCCCCAAAAAAGAAGAAAGAGAATGGGAAGGAGAGAGGAGGGGGCGG